TTTTGGCCTCTGGTTGCCATGAACCAAGATGATCTGAGACTCTCTGCTACGTCACCTTCAACCAATCACTTTACTCTGGGTCCCAAGTTCCCACGTCCATGCACGAGGCGGTGGGAGAAGACGATCTCTTTGTTTGCACGTGTATATACGCAAGGTCAGGCCTTGGCCTCCCCTCTGCGGTCTCCACCCCCACCCAAGGCTGCCCCAGCCTGTGGCCTGTCTTTTCCCCTCTGTGCCTCTCCCGGCACGCCACCTCCAGCCTCCGTCAGTGCCCCTCCCTGGGTGAGCCATTGCATTGCCTCCAGGGAGCCCCCCCTTCCCACACAGTACACAGTCAATGCTTGCCCCTGCCATTCATATGGCACTTGTGTCACTGGGCACGCGTGGGTCCCGGTCTAGACTAGAGGAGTTACAGTTGGCTGGGTGCCCACTGCGCGGAGGGGGCCATGTCTTTGCCGCCTTCCTGGTGACAGCCTTGCCTGTGATTTACCTGCGGACTCCCCCCTCTTCCGAACCAAGCCCACAAAGGAGTGCCTTCTCTGCTGGAGGAGGTCCCAGGCCTCAGGCAGTAGGGGCCCCCATTCACTCCTGGGCCCGGCTTGCCTCCCGCAGCACTGCAACGGCGTTGACTGGCGTCAGAAGCTGGACTCTCAGCGAGGGGCTGTCATTGCCACTGAGCTGAAGAACAACAGCTACAAGTTGGCCCGATGGACGTGCTGCGCTTTGCTGGCCGGATCGGAGTATCTCAAACTTGGGTGAGATTCGGGTCCGGAGGTCCTGAATTCATCTGCTGCAAGGAGGGGTCTGCGGGCTGGGCTCGCCTCTCCCCTCTCCCTTGGGAAGAACTGCTCCTTGGCACCGGGTGTTGCTGTCCCTCTGTGCGGCCCCCCCCCCCCTTAAAACCCCCCCCCCCCCCCCCCCGCTAGTTACGTGTCCCGGTACCACGTGAAAGACTCCTCGCGCCACGTCATCCTGGGCACCCAGCAGTTCAAGCCCAATGAGTTTGCCAGCCAGATCAACCTGAGCGTGGAGAACGCCTGGGGCATCCTGCGCTGTGTCATCGACATCTGCATGAAGCTGGAGGAGGGCAAGTACCTCATCCTCAAGGACCCCAACAAGCAGGTCATCCGCGTCTACAGCCTGCCCGACGGGACGTTCAGCTCTGATGAGGACGATGAGGAGGAGGAAGAAGAGGAGGAGGAAGAGGAAGGTGTGTAGCAGGCCTCTTCCTGAAGTCTAGACTTAGCTGTAGGCTAGGGACCAAGCGCTGTAGCCACCCTTCTCTCCGGAGCCCTGATGTGGAACTTCCTAAGAGTTCTCTGAGACTAGACTTTGGAGCAGCCTTCACTCTGGAGCCAGGAGCTGCTTCAAGCACCTTGAAATCATATGAGGGGCCCAGGGGGGAGACGGACCTTTTAGAGGCTAGGGTGAGGAAGAAGCATTGAGGGAAAGGCAGTGGAATGGTTAGCCCGTGGTCTGAAGGAGAAAAGATACTCTGGGCTAGTTACACGGGCCCCAGACTGCCTCTTTGCTGCTTCATTCACCACCAGCTGGTGACTGAAGGGAATTCCTGTTAGCCCCATGACAATCCGAAAGGCTTACCTTCCGAGGGGAGCTGGTGAAAATCAAGCACTTCACCAGTGTGACGTGGCTCCTTTCTCTAACGTTTTGTGTCTTTCAGAGGAAGAAACTTAAACCAGACGGTGATGTGAAGCTGGAGTTTGATTCCACTGAGCCTAGAAGGTCTTTGGATGCTCAGTGGCATGCTTGCCAGATTCTTGCTGTCTGAAGTTTGACGGTGGAATAAAGTATAACTATTTAGTCTCTCTCCTTCATCGTGTGCTTACGTTGATTGGCAGCCCCTCTTCCTTCCCCCAGTAGCTCTTGGGCGAGGGAGGGTGAGATACAGCCGTGTTCTATGTCCACATAGAATCAGGGCTCCTTTTTTTGTTCTTGAGTATTATTCATTTTACACTTCCTGTTAGAGGGTGAATGTCCTAGATGTTTTTGTTCTTGGAACCGCGTGACATGATCCTTTGCTGGGATGGCTGTAGGTTGTGAGGCACATTGTGGCGGTCCCCACAAGAGGTCCGTTTCTACTGGCAGGGGTGCCTGCTGGCTGTGTGCCAGACCCAGCTGCTGCCCTTAGAGACACAGATCCCTAGTAAAAGGGAAAGCAGGGCACAGTGTTTGAAGGTTGAGGTGGGTATGCTTCATATGAAGGAGACTGCCCCAGAAGATTCTGATGGATGTTCCACTTGGTGGTGATCACTGGTTTGTAAATTGTTTTCGAGCTTGGTTTGGGCTGGTCACCGAGTCCCAAGCCAGCACTCTCAAAGCAGTGTGTTGTAAATCAGCTACAGAATGTTTAGGATATGTAAACTTTTTATAAGTGGATAGTGTCCTATTCTTGATGGTTTGAACCAGTATAATACCCCGCCAGGTATTATACTAAGTTTTCTATAAATACCTCATCTGAGCCTGACCCAGAACTAGAATGCTGGTCGAAGTGGTGTCATTGTATGATGAGGAAACAGGCTCAGCTTTTGAGTAACATTCCTGAAGTTACTATTTTAATCAAAATAATTGAGCCTCAGGGGCGCCTGGGTGGCTCACTCAGTTAAGCATCTGCCTTTGGCTTAGGTCATGATGTCAGGGTCCTGGGACTGAGCCCCCTATCAGGCTCCCCGCTCAGTGGGAAGTCTGCTTGTCCCTCTGCCTCTGCCCTTCCCCCTGCTCATGCTCTCTCTCTCAAATAAAACTTTAAAAAATAATAATGAGCCTCAGAAAGCAACCAAACACTGGTTTTGCTAAAGTTAGGGCATGCAACATGCCTCTTGGGAAGTCTTCAAGATAGGTAGATTATAAAAAGCACATGTTAAAAATATAGTGACAAGTGCCATGGAGTTTCAGAGTTGGGCCTGGGCCTCACCAAACTGCCTCTTGCAGACCCATGGTGCAGTCCAGCAGGATTAGCTGAGATGAGTGGGCAGGTGGAAGTCAGTTTCAGCCTTGGGCCCTAAAAAATGCACCAGCTTCCACTTGCTTCATTTATCTGTCCCCTACTTTACCCGTCCTGCGTGGGGCCATCAAGCTGATGGCTTCAGTCCTGACTCAAACCTTCCACCGCATCCCCCTGCCTGTCAGCCCACTGTCAAGGCCCTGCCACACTTTATCAGTCCTGACTTCCCTCTACTAACCAAATAAGACCAACAATTAATTCGGGTACTTAATTTTATTTGCCAGCACGCATTCTCACATCTTCACAACAACTGAGTAGACCTTTTTATTTTTGGTAAGGTACTTTGCATAGCCTGTCTGGTTTCACAGTTTATTCAACAAATGCTTCCTGATGGCTTGCTGTATGCCAGATCCTGGAGGAAGCCCTGAGGTCACCAGAGTGAGTAAGATCATTTCTGCTCTGTGGACCTTTTCTCTGAAGCAGATACAGGCTATAAATAGATAAGTGGCACTCCCTAGTGGATACTTTGTTCGAGAGGTCGGGGAAGACTTCTCTAGAGAGGTCCCAGGGACAATTTTTAATAAAAAGAAGTTCCAGCCATGCAAAGTTAGACCATCGAGTTCTTTCCACACCAGGCATGGCTGCCTTCCATGAGAACCCTCAGCCCCATATCACTGGACTTCTTAATGCCCCTTGAAGTTTCCTGTACCTCTCTCAAAATGGCATACATTCTGCTCCTGTAAATCTAAAGCAGGGTCCACATTCCACCTGTGCAAAACCAGCCTCGATCAACCAGTTCACCTGAACGGTGGCTCAGGATCATCCTCCTGCGGTTCACGTTCCCTCCGCAGCCATACCAGTTGCTGGGCATGAGCAGCGGGTTTGTGTCTACACTGGCCTATCATGGGCCACTTTGTTTACAACATTACCAAGAATGCAAAACATGACGAATAAACTTTTTGGAAAGAGCTCACAACTTGGCGTAAGCGGGCGGGGGGTTAATTCCAAGTTCCACTTAACCGTTTGGTCTCAGGCAAATCACTGCTAAACCTCCATTTGGCCAGTGACGACAGAATGTGGGGAACAGAATCGCCTACCTCTCCTGGTTGGTGAGACTGCCAGCCAGTCATGCATGTTACTTAGCAAACAACAGACTGAATCACTGTAGCAAACACCTGTTGCTTTTTTCTGTCCTGACGTCGACCTGGTTTCCAGTCCCCCAAAACTGGGTAGCCAACGAGTGTCTGGCTACGTTAATGGTGGAATGTAAGACCAAAGTCATCTGCTCCCGTGCCTCCCCTGCACGTGGAGAGGTACAGCTTTAACACAAGAGCCCTGCGCCCCAGCGCGACCCGAACCCCAGCGGCGCCAGACCCTCTGGCCCCCGGGCAACACGTGCACGCCTGTCCCGCGCCGCCAGGAGCCCGCGGCCGCCCCGCCCCTCCCGGCGTGCCGCGCGCCGCGCACGTGACTCCGCCCCCTGCCATTGGCCGGACGGGAGGGGCGGGGCCGCCGCCGCGCCGGCGGGCAGAGCGCGGCCTCAGTCGACTGCGGGCTGTCTCCCGCGCGGCTGAGAGGTCTGCGCTCGGTGCCGAGAGGCAGGCGCTGTAGGCGTGGGCACCGCGCACGCGCGGAGATTGGCCCCCAGAGAGCGCGCGCCGGCAGGAGTGTGGCCTTGCGTCGCGTGGCGGCAGGTGTGCGGGGCCATCCCTGTCACGTGATCGAGGAGTGCGGCGCGCCGGGCACCTGGCGGGGGCGTGGCTGGGAGGCCACACCTCCTTCGGTCTCCAGGGCGGGGCAGGGCCTAAGAGACCGGCCCCCTCCGAGGGTCTAAGCTGGGGAGGGCTCGGGAAGGGTGTTGGGCACCCCTTAAATTAGGAGAAGAGTGGGGGAACACCCACCCTCGTACTACCATGGCAGTAAGAACGGGGGTGGCGCTCCTGGGAACCGGGGCCCTGGAGGAGATGGAGGCGTTCGGATTTCCTGGGGGGAGCCCCAGATCCGAGCTTGAAAGGATGGGGGCAGGCAGATGAGCTCGGAGGACCTTGGGTTCCGGTCCCGGCTCAACCTCAGATTGCGGTGAGCGGCCAGGTGAGCCCCTGCCCCTCTCCCATCTCCCCGGGCCTCGAGGGGCCATCCAGGGTGCGAGGCCTCACATCCGTGGTCTGCCGCAGGATGGGCTTCTCGGCCGCGGCCCGGCTGTGGGGCCCGCCGGGGCTGCTCCTGACCTTCGTCCTGCACCCGGCTCTGTGCCTGCGCCCAGCCCAGACCTCGGCGCCCCGTCACCGGGACTACTGCGTCCTGGGCGCGGGGCCCGCGGGCCTGCAGATGGCCTACTTCCTGCAGCGGGCCGGGAGGGACTACGCGGTGTTCGAGCGCGCCCCGCGGCCCGGCAGCTTCTTCACGCGCTACCCGCGCCACCGCAAGCTCATCAGCATCAACAAGCGGCACACGGGCAAGGCCAACGCCGAGTTCAATCTGCGCCACGACTGGAACTCTCTGCTCAGCCACGACCCCCGGCTGCTCTTCAGACACTACTCCCGCGCCTACTTCCCCGACGCGGGCGACATGGTGCGCTACCTGGGCGACTTCGCAGACCGGCTGGGGCTCCACGTGCTGTACAACACAACCATTGCCCACGTCACTCTGAACAAGGACCGGCAGGCCTGGAACGGCCATTACTTCATCCTGACCGACGGGATGGGTCACGCACACCGGTGCAGGTAAGGAACCCATCCTAGAGCTGACCTGCTGGCACCCCTTGGTGGACGGTACATGGGGAAGAAATGAGAGAATAATTTTTTTTTTTTTTTAGAGATTTTTATCCATTTGTCACGTTCACTGTGACACCAACCTTGGGTATTCAGCATCGTCTAGCTTATGTACCCGCAAAGCCCTTTCTGAAGAGCACCTCCTAGAACTAGTGTTCCTCAGAAGACATTCCGGGGAAAGTGTCCCACAAGTGTTAGATGGGCTCAGTGGGATTTCAGATCTGAACTAGAGCGGGAGGCCCCACAGGCAGGGCTGCCAGCAATCAGTTTTAGCTTGCTTTGGCTTGGGAGAAAGCTTAATGTTGTGTAGACAGCCCAAACTCAGAGTCACACACTGTACTGCCCTGATTCAGTCTTCACAAGGACCCTGGGGGCAGTTCACTGATCCTCGTTTTACAGATGAAGAGCTGAGGCCCAGAGAAGTTAAGTCACTGGTGCTATGTCACACAATCTGAGCCTGTGTCTTCCTGACCCTGAAGCCTGTGCTCTTTCTGCTACACCAGACTGCCTTTCCCTTCCCGGCTATGGGGCTGCCACTTGGCTCCAGGCAAGTGCCCGGAGTTCATCTTCTCAGGCCCTTCGCCGGAGGCCCAGCCTTGCCCCTTACTTGTTCCAGCCCAGGGAAAGAAGGGCTCTGTCAGCTTGGGACCCTCGCGTTTTAGACAGTCGGGCAACAGCGTAGGGGATTCAGAGCTCAGCTGGGTGGGCAAGGGTGAGAAAACAAGGAGCCATAGGGGGTGCGATGTCTTCTACGGGCCATGCGGTTCTGTTTTCAAAACCGCCTGTAATCAAACTATCCTGCAGGCAGCAGGAGCCAGTGCCTGGCTGCCCCGCACAGGAAGGTAATGCCCGCCAGCATGAATCACGCCCATCTGATTTCGGATTCTGGCTTTGCTGTCCTAGGAGCTTGGGAGGCCATAGACCCACAGGGCCTGTGTCTCCTCACCTGTAAAGCAGGTCAAATAACACCAACTCAGGGCTTCTTTAGGCAATGAGATGATGCACGAAACACTCGGGAGGGGCCTGAGACAGAACTCCTGCTCGGCAGTCCCCTGCATCTGCCCAGCTGTCAGAAAAAGGAAAGTGGACCGCCAAGTTTCATTTTCACCACTGAGAGCCACACTTGGCCTAACTGCTGTGTTCAACATTAGGGGAATTGTTCAAGTTCTCATGTGTCCCCTTCTCAGAGAGTTGGACTAATTCTTGTGTTTGGCATCATCCCAGTACGGGGTAAAGGGAACCATCCACTGGAGTGGGCCCGGGAGGGGCAAGGGTGATGTCTCTCGGATACTTTGGGATAGGTCAGTAAACGGATGAATGAAGGGACATTCTCCTGTGGATTTTTTAGGAGCCAGCAGCCTGGGGGAGGCGGGCCAGCCAGGCAGCAGGGGCAGGGAGTGAGTTTCACGTCGTGGTCTTCCAGCTCAGAAACTAAGCCGTCTTCCATCTGTCCCTTCCCTGCAGTGTGCTTCTTGTGGCCACCGGTTTGTCAGTCCCCAACCAGGTTGACTTCCCTGGCTCTGAATATGTAGAGGGGTACGAGTCTGTGTCCGTGGACCCCAAGGACTTCGAGGGTCAGAATGTGCTGATCCTGGGGCGTGGGAACTCTGCCTTTGAGACAGCAGAGAACATCTTGGGTGTCACCAACTTTATCCACATGCTGAGCCGCTCCCGGGTCCGACTGTCATGGGCCACCCACTACGTAGGAGACCTCAGGTACGCTATGAGCTGCTCATGGATTCCGTACCACCAGCCCCCTTGAGAGCCATTCCTGACCCCACTGGAACAAGTGCCCCTTCCTCTGAATCTCCTTGTGCCCCATTCAGACTCCTTTCTCTCTCCTGGCGTTTCCCTCGGGCCCCAGGGCCATCAACAATGGCCTGCTGGACACCTACCAGCTGAAGTCCTTGGATGGGTTGCTTGAGTCCGACCTGACGGATCTGGCTGTCGTGAAGGACCGCGAGGGCAAATTCCACGTCACCCTGAAGTTCTTCCTGGAGGAAGGCAACCAGAGTGCCGACGCCATCACCCTCCCCCAGGACGACAGCGACAACTTTGCCATGCGCGTGGCCTACGACCGGGTCATCCGCTGCCTGGGCTGGAACTTCGACTTCTCCATTTTCAACAAGTGAGTCCACACAGGGGTGGAGCTGGGGTCACTTCATGAACCCCTTCTGACACCTCCCCGGCGGCAGAGAGTCACCATCCCGTGGGCTAGCAGCAGGGCTTTCAGGATGGCACCGTCAGAGTGGACATGGGTGCTGCCTGGTCCCTTGCCCAGGACGTGAGCTCACTGTCCTCACAAGGATGGGTGGCCCAGAGGCCCTCCATCCTGGAGCAGCAGCAACAGTGGGTCTTCATCTGCGTCGTGATCTTCCACCCGAGAGACGGGAAAGGGGGCATCAGGCAGAATAAGTACTCGGCATAGACTATACGCTTCATAAAATGGTAGCTGCCAACTTCACTTATAATTGCGTGTTCGACTGCTTTGCTTGAGACGTTGCTGCCCCAGGTACCTTGGCAAGGCTTGGGATCAAAGAATCCGTCCAGTGTCTCACTTTCCCCTGGCCAAGGCGCAGGCAGACAAGGAGAACCTGGAGGGCCTGAAGCAGACCCCTGCCCAGCAGGTCCCCCAGGGCCCGGTCGGAGCCCAGAGCCTAGCCTCAAGTCAGGCTCGAATCCTGGCTCTGTCCCCGACCCACCACATCTTCACCCTGAGCCTCAATAATTACTCCATCTGTTAAACAGAGATCATCATACCCGGCTCCTAGGGTCCTGGTGTGGTTTCAACACAATAAGCAATATAAAGCATGACGTACGCTTAGCTCAGTGAGGAGCACATAGTAAGCGTTTCATACACAGCAGTGATTTTTATTAACAACGCTTTCTACTCACAGGTCCCTCCGACTGTCTTCTGGGGGTGAGTTCAGCAAGAAGTACCCGCTGGTCAAAGCTAGCTATGAGTCCAAAGGAAGCCGGGGCCTCTTTGTGCTGGGCACCGCCAGCCACTCTGTGGATTACCGGAAGTCTGCCGGGGGCTTCATTCATGGATTCCGATACACAGGTGAGCCCGGCAGAGAGAACCATCCCTAGGCTTTGTAAACGTAACCTGATTTGCAGCAGCCTTCATGGGAGTGCTTGTCGGTAGTCGATTGTCTTAAATTCCCCTGTTTGGGACAGAGGGCAACAGGTCTTCGTGGGCTGAGGATAGATCTAGAAAAGCGTCAGATGAGGTGTGAAAGCAAGTACATCTGGGGGTAGCATATTACATGCTGAAGCCCTGTGCCAGTCAAGCAGCATGCATTGGCAAGAAGGCAGAGCTGGAGGAGTGCTCGTGGGGGTTCCTCCCTAGCAGAGCGGTCTAGAGGTGAGGCTTCGTGACCTCTCCGTAACCCTCTTTTGGATGGCGTGGCGTCAGAGGCATAAACGAGGTGAACTCTCCGCCCTCGCAGGGCTGTCTTAAGGACAAACTAAGATAATACCTGGGAACCTTGTAGCTATGAAGCATCATGCACAGATTCTTTGGGTACCCACAAATTTCAGTAAAAATTACAATTGGATTACATCAGTTCTGAGGGCATAAATGTTCTGCACTCCAGGCAGGCTGCTGGGTGGGCGAGTGTTAACAAGGGCCAGTTAGTTGATTTTGCCACAAACACCTGAAGCACCCTGCATCCTGCATCCCAGCATTTCTGTATTTAATTTGATGACTTCCATTGGCTTAATACTCATTTTTGCATTTTACTGTCCTTCCAGTTTGGCAGGGGAAGGTAGCCATGTTTGATTTCCAGATGATATATTTTATGTCCCATGCAAGTGGTCAGAGAAGGAAACCAGAGAGAGAGTGTTAGCCAGGACATCCACAGATCAAACACACACACACCCCCGGAATGAACATCCACAGATCAAACACACACACACACACACACACACACACCCGGAATGGACATTCACAGATCGAACACATACACATCCACAGATCAAACACACACACACACACACACACACACACACACACATCCACAGATCGAACACACACAGGCACACACAGACACACACACATCGAACACACACACCACACCCACACACACAGACACACCCACACACACCACACCACACACACACACACACACACACCCGGAATGGAAGAGTCTGTCCCTTTAGTGCCAATACGAAATCCGCAGATCCTGTCATTTCTGCTCCATTTCCAGATAAGGAAACTAGGGCACAGAGAACTTAAGTAACTTCCCCCAAGTCACCCAGCCAGTGGATGGCAGAAGGGTAATTTGAATCCACACGTGTCTGACCCTTAAGCTCACAGCCAACCACTAAGCTTCGGGCACGTGGGGCAACAGTCTCAGGCGCTCAGGCAGCGGCCGCTGTGTGGTCACTACCACAAGCCGAGCGGAGGGCCCTGCTGGGGGAGGGCCGGTGTGGCTACGCACATCCCGCTCATCCTGCTCCAACCTGAGAAACCGGTCCCAGGGGAGACCAGAAGCATTCAGTAAGGCAGAGGAAGCCAACAGAAGAGAAACTAGGAAGGGCGCAGAACAATACCGCGTGGCCGGTTATTCCGGACGCCCAGCCCGTCCGTCCCCCTGCTGTATCTCTGTCAGCCCACCGCCTCCATCTCCTGACCCACGGCTTCTTCGTCTCTCCTGACTGGTCTTCCTGCCACTGCAGGTCTCTCTGGCTTCCCATCCAGCCACACGGTCCCCTCCGCAACACCCTTTCCTGAAACAAAATCTTGCCTTCCCTGTGCTTATAGCTTAAGCGTCTCTGCGCAGCTCCCCACCTCCCCTGCGAGAGCTGGGGGAGCTCCTCGGCGTGCCATTCCAAGCTCTGCCAGGCCCGGGCCACCTCACCTTTCCAGCCTGGTCCCTACCTGCTCCCCAGAATGGGCTAGGCTCTCTGGAGATGGTAGCCCCTTTCGTCAGGGCCCCCCCCCCCCACGCTCCACTAGCTCTGGCGTTCCCCGACCCTGTGTAGAGGGATAGCTCTCGCTTTTCTGCTCTTGGGTCACTCAGACTCCATGACAGTTCGGATGCAGGCAGTGGAGGAGAGGGGGCGCTGAAAGGGTCTCCCACTGGGGCTCTGGGAGAAAGGGGAACTGTGGGCAGGGGAGCGGGGTGAGAGGGAGGCATGGGGTCCAGGGCTGGCAGAGCAGCTGGGAGGGGTCCTGTGGGGGCCTGGAGCCAGAGCTGGCCCCGTCACCCTTGCAGCTACCCTCCAGGGCTGCTTTCGCCCCGGAAGCAGAACTGAGTAGCATGACCGACTGGGCAGCAAAGCCCAGAACACTGTCCATCCAGCCCTTGGTAGGAAGCTTTCGCGGACCCCACTCCAAAGGCATCCTCTCGGCGCCACGCAGGCAAGCGTGCCTTGAGTTCCAAGAAGTCCATGGGGACTGGACAGTGTCCGGTAGTGAAAGATCAGATCTTAAGGGCAGCATGCTGTCCCTCCCTCTGGCCTGATTTCAGTGCGTGCTGTTCACCGCCTGCTGGAGCATCGCCACCACAGCGTCGCTTGGCCCTCCACCCAGCACCCCATCTCACAGCTGACCAGTTCCATCGTCCGGCGCGTGAACGAGGCTTCTGGGCTCTACCAGATGTTCGGTGTGCTGGCCGACGTTGTCCTGTTGAAGGAGTGAGTAGCCCAGCTTCACCATTCACCCCGTCCTAGCTCCTCTCTGCCTGTTCCGGGTATGGAGTGGCCCGGTGGTCCCCTCCTAAGGTGAAGCCTGCATGGCGGGGGGCGGGGGGTGGGGGCGGCAGGGGAGATCCGTTCTGGGGGAAAACGTCAGGGAAATCGACACCACGGGCTCCACAGGCAGGCAGACAGACCTGGGTATGCATCCCAGCTCTGTCACTTTCTACCTGGGTGACCTGGGCCAAGTCACTCAGCCTCTCTGAGCCTCTCTCTCAGCAGCACAGTGGGGATGATCACACCTTGCATGCAGGAGTAAAGGTCACTGGTAGCCCGCAGTCGGCACCAAGCGGGTGAGCAGTAAACCACAGTGATGCGTACCACCAGTGTGGATCGACGGGCTCCCTTGGGCCAGGGCTGTGTTGGCTCCTTATCAGTTAAGTGACAGGTGGCAGATCACAGGCGACACCCGGCAAAGCAGGGAGGGAGAAGGACTGCGGGTGAGGGCGCTCTGAGGACAGGTGGCAGGTGAGAAGCAGGGGGAATCCCTCAGTCGGAGCGGGAGAAGCCTGACCCAAAGCCGGGGAGGGCCACACACACCAAGCTCAGGGACACACAAGGCATTCACAGCGCCCAGCACAAGATATCCCATCACCCTGACTCCTCTCTTCCATTCCCATCCGCCACATTCAGACTCTCCATAAACCCCGTAAGCTCTACCTTCAAATTATGTCAAGAATCTGACCGCCTCTCCCCAGTTCCAGTACTGCCACCTTGGTCCAGACGCCCAGCATCTCACCTGAACTAACTGCGGCCTCCCGCCTTTGCCCCGTGGTCTGCTTTCCACACAGCAGCCTGGCGGTCCTCTCAAAACACCAGTCACACACAATCAGCTCTGCTCAGGACTCTCCAGGGGCTGGGAGCCCTCAGGGCACACATGAGCCCTCCTCACCTACCCCCGAGCCCCTCTCCTGTCCCTCTGCCCAGGGCCCCTTCAGCCACACGGGCCTCTTTCCTGTCCCTCGAAGACACCAAAGCAGTCACTCCCTCCCAGGGCTTTTCTGTTACTGTTCTCTCAGCCTGGGTCACTCTTTCCCCAGATACATTTCTGGTTGCTCAGAGTTTTCGGGGATCTGTCCCAATGTAAGCCAGAGCTCAGCTGTGACAGTCATGGTAAAATGAGGTGCGTGGGGATGACCAGAGGCTGTGCACCGTACAAGAGACACGCGCGCACACACGCACACGCCTCCCTCAGCTCTGCTGCGGCACTCAGGGTCGCGCCAACCCCCCATTATCCCCAGGAACGCCACGGCATTTGAGTACCTGGAGGAGTTCCCCATGCAGATGCTGGCCCAGCTGGAGACCATTACAGGAAGGAAGGCCAGGCATGGGCTCTTCGTCATCAACATGGAGTATGGCAGAAACTTCTCTGGCCCCGACAAGGACGTGTTCTTTTATGACCGGTCTGTGGGGCACACGGAAGACGCCTGGCAGTCTAACTTCCTCCATCCCGTCATCTACTACTACAGGCACCTCCCCACCGGTGAGCTGGGCCTCAGCTGTCCCCCGAGCGCGGGCTTCCAGGAGCTGGGCGGGTCTCTCTCCTGTCACACCTCACCTCTCACACAACTCTCCCGGCTGACAGAGGACACTGGGGGACTCTGCCCAGAAACCGAATGGGGCAGAAGGTCCCGGAATAAGAAACAGCGTTCCCAGATTCTGGCGCATACCGTGACCTGGGCAGGCCACACATGGAATGTTGTGACCTCCTCCAGGCACCACATAGTAAGAGGGACCATCTTGCTGTGTGTCTCCAAAGGAGGCCGAGCATGCAGCGGGAGGGGACCTGGAGACCAACTCTCAGAGGGAACGGGGAAAGGAGCTGGAAGTGGTCAACACAGGCCTGCTGCCAAAACGCAGAAAAACTAGGCAGTGTTCTCAAGCTCTGCTTTCCTTGCCGTGTGGCCAGGGACCATTACTTGAACGCTCTGAGCCTCCACTTCCTCATTTGAGAAATGGGGATAACAGTAGGATAAATGACATAAATAACACAGAATGTGGGGTGCCTGGCTGGCTCAGTCGGTGGGGCATGTGACTCTTGATCTCGAGGTTGTGAATTCAAGCCCCACTTTGGGTGCAGAAATTACTTAAAAAATAAATAAAAATCTTAAAAAAAAAAAAAAAAAACCAGCACAGTACCTGGCACAGAGTAGCTACCAGTAGATGACCCTCCCTGCCCACCCCCCCACCCCCCCAGGGAACACGACTCCTGCTTAAGAGACTGAAGGGCTGTCACTTGGAAGATGATGCTCTAAAAACAAGCAGAGGTAGTATCAGTGACAGGAATGCAGGATTCTATTCAGAATCGGAAGCAACTACTAGTCAAAGCTGTCCCACAGTGTAATGGGTCGCCCCTAAAATCGAGTTTCCCAGTGCCAGGATGGTTGAGTCATGGCTTAATGGCCGTCGGCCTGGGACGCCACAGAAGGGAGCCCACACCAGGTGCGAAGCTGGACTAGGTGAGCTCTCGGGCCTCTGAGTCTCCTCACAGAGCAGTTTTGAAGCAGTCACAATGGACCTCAGTCCATGTGCGCCTTAGAAAGACACAGAGTGCGAGTGATCAGTCTTGGTTCCGCTTTCTGATACCACAAGGAACAGATCTAGTCTCTTCCTTGTGCCAGCCTTGCAAACACACAGATGGCTATTGAAGAGGCTGGCCGCTGCCCAGCACGGAGTGTGTCGGGAAAGCTGAACGCGAGGGAGCGAGGGAAGCACCTGGGATGTGTGGGAACCATGCTGTCCGCTCCAGGATGGGAAGCCCAGCCTCCGGGCTCTGACACAACTCCCTCTCTCCTACCCACAGAGCAGGAGGTGAGGTTCCGCCCTGCTGACTGGGCCCTGCCTCGGCCCACCGCCATCCACCACATTGTGGAAGATTTCTTGACAGACTGGACCGCCCCGGTGGGGCACATCCTACCTCTGAGGCGCTTCCTGGAGAACTGTTTGGACACCGATTTACGAAGCTTCTATGCAGGTAACCTAAGTTCCTAGAAGGGACGGAGCTGAAGGTTGAAAAAAGACGAGACAGATCCATGCCCTCTGGAGTGTTCAGGATTCATATCTAGAATCCACACCCAAGAATTCTGTTAATCCACAAGATAGATGAGATGTTCACAAAGACCCTTCCCAGTATGGCACAGCTAAAGTCGCTGAATAGAATGTCATTTTTAAAGAACTGTCAGGGAAAAAAAGGGAACTCTAAGAAAAGCCTAAAGCCCTTGCTGGACGTGGGATACCTGCCAATCATCAGTGGTAGCTTAGAGCCTAGGTAACTGACCAGTACGTGGGGGTGGGAAGGTAAGGCTGGAGCAGGGTGGGAGGCCTGTTTAGAGACCTTCACTTAAGCTTAGATCTCAGTGACCCAAGTAGGAAACAGAAAACACTCTCAAGAGGGAGATGGTGGAGACTCATGCTTTTGGCTCTGGGTAGAAAAAGGGAAACTCTCCCCTGAGAATTTCTAACCACTAAGCTTCACTCATGTGAGTTTGAGGCCAAACTTCACACTGTCGTCATGGTGTAAAAATCACAGAAGTAAATGGAAGTCTTCTGTGAAGAAACAAACTTTAAAACTAGAGAAAGGGGCACCTGGGTGACTCAGTCAGTTAAGCGTCTGCCTTCAGCTCAGGTCGTGATCCCAGGGTCCTGGGATTGAGCCCCACGTTGGGCTCCCTACTCAGTGGGAATCTGCTTCTCCCTCTGCGCCTCCCCTCTCCTTGTGCACTCTTTCTCTCTTTCCCTTTCTCAAGTAAGCAAAATCTTTTAAAAAATAAAATAACACTAGAGAAATAGAAATATACATTAAAAAACAAAACAAAAAAAACCTAGGGCTTGGGGCGCCTGGGTGGCTCAGTCAGTTAAGCAACCAACTCTTGGTTTCAGCTCGGGTCATGATCTCAGGTTCCTGGGATCGAGCCCTGCACTGGGCTCCATGCTCAGCACGGAGTCTGCTTGTCCCTCTCCCTCTGCTCCGCCTCCCGCTCTCTCTCTCTCTCAAATAAATTAAAAAAAAAACTAGGGCTCAAAAAGTTCCCACAGATAAAGTTCCAAGTAAGTTGAACCCACCCCCCACCCCCAAACAAAAGGCACTTAACACAAAAGGACATAAAATGCCACGAGGGAGCATTAGCAGAAACAACAAACTGCTGGATCAAACCAAAAAGACTATGGGAACTGGAATAGTTACAAACAGAGGATACAAAGTCTGTCTAAAATATGTAAAGAAATGAAAAAGGAGATTATCGAAAATATAATTGGGCAGCATTCAGAAAGACCCAAATAAAACTTCTGGAAATGAAAAAATGTGTAACTAGAAACTCAACCTAGGGGCGCCTGAGGGCCTCAGCCAGTTAAGCATCCAACTTGTGATTTTGGCTCAGGTCATGATCTGAGGGTCCTGGGATCGAGCCCCGCATCGAGGCTCCACACTCAGCAAGAAGTCTGCTTGGGATTCCCTCTCTCCCTCCACCCCTCCCCCCGCTCACATGCTGTCTTTTTCTAAAATAAGTAAATCTAAGAAAGAAAAGGAACTCAACCTAAAGATAACGTAGCACATTAGACAGAGACGAAGAGAGGATTAGTGAACTGGAAGGTAGCTCTGACAAGAGAAGTCTGAGGACCTGGAGGGAGAACTGACATAAATAGGCCAAATTTCAGTATTTTTTAAAACCCCCTGACTGCCTAGGATACCTACCCTTTTCTGTTCAGCAAACATATATTGACCACCAGTTGTATATCAGGTATTATTCAAATCAAATCAGGTTCGAGATGGTCAGTCTCTGGCCTGCAGGTCAGAGAGCAGGTGTCCTTGTCGCCCCAGGCAACATCCTCGGTCAACTTGGAAATAAAATGCATATGTTAAGAGAGCTGGCTTAAAACAGTAGTGTAGGCTAATTGTCTAAATGTATGTGGATGCTCCGAGGTAATTCATAGCACAGGGCTAAGCAACTTTGAAGTGCTAGCATTCTGCAGACTCAGCTACGACCGCATGCTCACCTGGGAAATTGACACGATGCAGGTCTAGAGATCTCAGCTACAAAATCCCTGCCTGTTTCTCGAGGTTTCAGGAGTACCCAAAGATGGCCGTGCCCATTAGGGACCGTGTCCCGCCCTGGGTTACGGCTGCCACGAATGCATCATCCAGGCCCTAGAGCCTCCTGGCTCCCACTCCCTAGACACTGCTCAACACTACAAGCCACTAAGCATCCCTGCCTTCAGCTTGGAAGCATCCTCCCAACTCAGGGCCAGCTGGCAGAGTGGGCTTTCCTCCACCCCCGTAGCTGATGTGCAGCTGTTAGCGCTGGCCCCAGACTCGGCTGGGCTTCTCTGCCCCCCACCAGGCCCCTGCAGAAGGGGTGACATATGTCATCAGAAGGTGGTGCTTGCCAAGAGGCCACCTTGCTGCCGCTCTCCCATCCTCCCCCTGCACCTGCCGTCCTCCCTGCTCAGAGAGGCTTGTCATGGGCTGTTCTGCCAGGGGCCATCTGGGCCAAAAGTCAGAAATGACGTTAGAAGTATCTCTGTGTGTGGCTCCTTACAGCCTGTTCACCCATGTGGGCCTCACAACATCCTTTGTAACGTGCCCAGGTGTTTTGAGATAAAAGACTTAAGACAGTTTTTGGACGTTTGCTCCTTCCCATCCTGTCTCATCCTGAGAAGACTGAGCCCCTATCTCTTTCATCTTTTCTGCTTTTTAAGTCAAAGTTACATAAGCACTTAGCTAAAAGACTTTTTCTCACTTCCACCCTCAGTCTCAGAAGGAACTGCTTCTGGTTCTTCTGGTTTCTTCATATTTCTGAATAATAAATACCCCCAGCTGTTTCCTGATAGAGCTGACTTGACCCATGTACCAGCTTTCTGCTGTTTACCAGTGTTATCTTTCCACCACCACCCCCCACAGGGCTCAAAACAGTGCTGTGCACACAGTATTTGCAACCCAGAGATGGCTGAGGGAATAAAGCCATGCAGGCAGCTCTGAGCTCAAAACAGGACTGACCACCGAGCTCCCGGCCCCAGCCAGGCCAACTTCCAGAAGAGAAGGCTGAGGGTCGGCTCCTCGATGGCTGAACTCCCAGTGGGACTGGCTCCCTGTAAAGCATCATGTTGGGCCCAGATCTCTGGGAGTTGAGTCATTTCTGTGGTCTGCTTTCCATTTGGGGCCTCGTTCTTCCAGAATGTCAGGGCACCCTCCTTTGAACTTCAGGGAGGGACGAGATCCATGGCTACTCAGGTCAGATGTGAGATCCCCACAAAAGTCAGCTCCCCTGCTCAAGGGGTGGAGGGCCCTGGGTGAGGCCCCGGGGCATCGGCACCCCTGCGTCCCATACCTCTCCCCATACCTCTCTTACTCATTCATCTCCTTTTGCTTTTGTGTAGAATCCTGCTTCCTATTCACCCTAACACACCAGAAGCTGCCGCCCTTCTGCCAGCAGGGGTACCTGAGAATGCAGGGGCTCCTGGGGACTGAGAGCCTCTGGCGGCACGGAGTGGAGAGCGGGCTCCTCCGGGACTACACCATTGTGGGCAGGCGCCGTGAGGACCAGGGCCAGGGGCCACTAAGTAGCTCCCAGGCCCCAGGGCCTCCGGTCCAGCCCCTCGACAGCAACAAGGAGGAGCTGTGACCGCCAGGTGGCTCCCAGCCAGCCCTCTGTTCCACCGACGCATGGTTACCAGAGACCACTCAGATCATCACGGTGACCAAGGCCACTCTGAGGGGTGGCCATGCAGTGGTCTCCCCTCTGGTCTGGTCCTTGGATGCCTGGGAGGCGGGATCCTGAGAAGGGTATCCTCTGCCAGGTGGGAGCCGCCTTCCACAGCCAGGCTTGTCTGCAAGTGAACTGTCACTGGGCACCAGGCTGGCTCGGTTCTGTCCCCATCAAGTGCCCAGCGGTCCCATTTCCTTCGGGTCTACTCGTCGGATGAACCTGGCGGACCCTGTCACAGGTGGCACTGTCCTCATTGTCAAAGGGTTCGTGGCAGGCACTTTAAACCTAAGCGCTAACATCCTCAACCCTCTGGGGCGGGTGGGACTGTTGCCTCTGATGAAGACATCAGCTCAGAGAGCTTATTTGACCCCAGACTCCCTGTCTGGGTCCCCTGAGGCCTGGGCCACTCTGCCTCAGCCTGCCCCCACCTCAGTTTCCAGAACCCAGGCTGGGCCAGCCCAGCTTATCATCACAGGCCCGGCTGCCGTCACCAGGCAGAGACGGGACAAGCTCCTGCAAAGCCACCTTATCTGCGCGGGTTTCTGCCTGAGCAGCAGGACTCAGAGCTGCACCCGCCCCAAGACGGCACTCCTTGACGTATCTCCAGCATCTGTGTCTTCTCTCTCCTCCCCGGCACCTTCCCTTTGCCCTGCTCCTGCCCTCTGAACTCCTGAACGACACCTTGCCTCTGGTCTGCCTGAGCAAGTTCTGTAAAACTGTCCCCATGTTTGCAGGGAGGATTCTTTCCAAGGGGATTGATGTGCTGTTTGTACAGGGAGCCTGGCTCAGCGTGTGCAAGGCGGCACTTCTGACTGCATTTGTGTGACAACGACAATGCCCTCAGTCTTCCTCCTCACCAGGAATCCGCCCCCTTCCTACACTCCCGTCAGGCACTTTCGTCCCAAGTAGGAGTAGGCCATGGAAAGCATTTGTACAGAAAATAATCACGGTGATTTTTTTCAAAGCCCAGGACCCTAGATGATTGCTTTTTCATCGGTTCTTACGGGTCCCTGTATGCACTCAGAATTCGAGGGACGTGGGCTTTCTGGATCCATGACCCTTTTCTGGAAACATCCACTTGGCCTCAACCACCAGGCCCACTGCCTGTCTGCACATACCTCTCCCTCCAGTCATGTTAGACCAGTGACACTTGGCAGCCCGAGCCTGCCGGGGAGGTGCTTACCCTGTGACAATACTTGGCAGAGCGTCCCTGGGGACAGAAGCATCTAAAGATCTCTCCCTAGTCCCAGAGGGTTGGGTTCACCATATTTCTTACAGATGATATGTAAACCAGATTTGGGCCCCATTACCTACCCACCCCCCACCGCTTCCTTTTCCAAGACCTTTTTTGAAACAAATCTTTTCACTAGGACTGTTCCCATAATGTCAAACCCTGCCACACCCATCACACCTCACCAGCCACTGAAGGCAGCTGAGCGCCTATCAAAGTTCAAGGTGCTGCAACAGATAATTCACAGATGCCTAACTGTGTGACATCTGCTCCTCATCCCATCACCTGCCAAATTGTTCATTCCACCAAAATTTCAGCCAGCCTTGTTTGTGTTTCATAAGGCATGGCTCCATGGTTCAGCTGAGTAGAGATGCCTTCCCTGGTATTCTCCTTGTAAAACTGGTCAGTAATTTGGAAAAGAAAATAAATCTCATTTCGAATCCCTATTTCATACTTCAGAATTAATTCCAGAGCAATTTTTAAAAAGACTTTATTTCATAGAGCACAACTAAGCAGAGCAGCAGGGAGAGGGAGAGGAGAAGCAGGGAGCCTGATGCGGGGCTCGATCCCAGGACTCCGGGATCATGACCTGAGCCAAGACGCCTAACCGGCTGAGCCACACAGGTGCCCCAATTCCAGAGCAACTTTTAAAAGCCATACAGAAACGGGAGGTGACAAGGGGGCGTTAGAGTAAAAGAAAGGACTGTCCAACTTCAGAAGCAATGGGGTAATTCCCCAGAGGAGAAGGTTTAACATTTCCAGTCTACTTAATTTTTTTAAGTTTTTACTTAGATTCCAGTTAGTTAACATACAGTGTGATACTAGATTCAGGTGAAATTTTTCTTTCTTTCTTTTTTTTTTTTTAAGTAATCTCTACACCCAACGTGGGGCTCGAGCTCCCAACTCCCGAGATCAAGCACTCCGCTGACCGAGCCAGCCAGGCACCCCTCGCCCATACTTAACTAATGTGACCGTTTAAAGAAAAGGATAAAAATTCAAAGGCAGACAGCATGGGTAAAATACTGACAGCAGAATACAATACATAAAAATAGTAATATCTTTATTACTCAACCGATTGTGGGAGTTAATGAGGAAAAAAAATAAGAGAATCATGGGACATTCACCCAATAAAATATTACACGGCTCTCAAAACCTCTCAGAGATGGTGAGAGACCATACCATAAAAATACATGTGTGACAAAGCCAAGTGAAAAGAAGCAGACCATGAGACTGTAGTTGTGAACTACTTATAACTGTGTAAAACTAGAAAGCCACAGACGGGGAAGACTCTGGAAAGGACATCTCACAAAATGTCAACAGTAGTTATATTAGGTTTGTGGAGGCATTTTTCTTTGTCCAAATTTGTGGTTACACTCCATAGTGAAATAAATACATTTATTTTTTAAAAAATCATCTCTGCTCTTGGGATTTAAAATTGCTGGAGGCAAGAGGAGCAGGGAGCCCTCCCAGGGGACATGCTCTGCCCGGTCCCAGTGGTACCCATGGTTTCTTCCCTCTGCCAAGTCAGGAAGACACCGCGCCCAGTGTCGGGGAAGATGTGCCCCCCGCCAGAGAAGGGAATTTTAAGCGGTGTGTGCTCCTCTCCTACAGTCTTTGGATTGACTGACCCAGCACAACAGAGGAGATCTCTGGAAGAATCCTCCCTCCCAAGAGACAGAAAATGAAAGATAAGAAATCCTCACTTTGTGGAGGTCTCCTGGGTGTAATCTCCAATCTGTAGAGCCCCAAATTCCTTTTGTTCCCCAAATAAAGATGGGGGTATAGCTAAAGTCTGTCTAGAAAGTGAATCACCAAGTAGTGAATTTATCTGCTAAACTACTCCTAACATCTAATCATTTACTGCATATTTACTATGTACCCAGAACTGTACTGTGGTTTTAAAAGATAGGCTCACAAATTCTTTGCTACTTTTCCTCCAAAGAGCTGGAGCTCATTCCCCTCCTTGTTGGGTGAGAGCAGGACTGAGTGATTCACTAAGAGCAAACAGAGGAGACGTGACAGGATGTTATTTTCAAGATTAGGTTATAAAAAGACTGTAGCATTCACCCACCAAGAGGCTGTCCTCTCTCTCATCACTCACTCGGGTCATGTTGCAATGACATCCAGGCATCTATGGAGAGTTCCTTGTCCATGTGGCAAGGAACAGATACCTGCCAAGAGCCGTGTGCACAAGCCTAGAAGCAGATCCCACTCCTATCCAGCCTTTAGGGGACTGCAGTGCTGGCCACCACCTTGAACGCAGCCTCCTGAGAGACCCCCAGCCAGAACCACCCAGCACAGCCGCTCTCTGACTCCTGATCCACAGAACTTTGAGATAATGTCTGTTGTTTCACTCTGCTAAATTTCAGGGGTGGGGGGGTGGAGGGCTGGAGGGGTGTTTTGTTACACAGCAACAGATAACTAATGCATGCGCTAGATAGCTTACCTGCATTTTGTCACCACAACCCTAAGAGATAGATAATCCTATCCTCTCCCCCATTCCTACCCTAGTCTCCCCATTCTTACATCGAGAACAATCACACAGCAGGTCGGTGGTGGTGAGGTGCTTTGAAAATCCACTTCCTTCGAGCCATCCTCTCAATATTAAATCATTAAAGTAAACCATGTTGCCTATGGGTTTCCTTCTTGTGAACACTGGCTGACAATAAATTAAGGGACCCCACAATTCTCAAACCTAAGAAACAGGAAATAAAGTGTGTGTGGCCCCACCAGGTGGCAGGGAAATGTTAAACTGCTGATTACACAAAAACGTAACCTCAAAAAGAGTATTCATCCACTCCATCAACCAGGCGTCCTGTGATTCAGGTGAGGGCAGGATGACTCAGACGGGACGAGGAAAGCTCTGGAGTCTGGAGCATCCACTCCCCGCCCGGGCTCCCGCCTCAGTTAGGATCCTCGGTTCCCTGACCAATTACAACAACATCCCTAAAAGCTAAATTGGATTCTTCCCTAGAAAAGAAACCCGTAGGCTGCATCATTTCCCTGCAGATGCTAATTTTTGTTAATACAGTAAAAATGCTGACTGGGGAAAGATTTTTGTCAGACTGCAGGCTTTAAAGAAGCATTTAGTTCAATCTGGCATCCAGACCGAATGTAAATATACCACCAAGTGAAGCTGATGGGCAAATATATGAGAGGCTTTAGCCCAAGTATTTAATCCAAGTACACCACATGACTAATCCATCAACCCTGAAATAAAACGTAACAGATGTATTCAAGCAGGGAAGAAAAGACCAGCAGAATACCCTGTCTCACTCCTTTCTCAAATCTGCATACTGATTTGCCTGCTCCTCTGGAGAAAGCCCCGAGTTTCATGCTCATTGCAAAATGTTTCAGAAATTTGTCACCTGTTTGTTTCATTCTCTTGGAGATATTACCATCTCAGACCAGTCTCTCAAGTCATTCCAAATCATTATAAATTAATTAGATGCAGAAAAGTCTCACCACCAGAAAAAAAAAAAAAAGATAATGCAATCTAGCTTCAAATGTTCAGTGTGTTATAGCCCTTCGTTGTAGTTTAGAAATAAAGCAACTATAAAAATGTATGAGACGAGCCCCCTTAACACCGGCTATGTTTCAGTTTCAAATAAGATGACTATCAGGAAAAGGAGAAGCGTCCAGAAGCCTGCGCGATGAACCGTGGTACACTGAGGATGGCCACAAAGTTTATGACGATTCCTATCAAGATGTGAGGTCTGTGTCCCCTCGCCTTGAATGAGGGTGGCTTCTGGGACTGTTTTGACCAAAAGAACATGGTGGCAGTGAAGCCACACTGGTTTCTGGGCACAGGCCCGAGAAGACTGGCAAATTCCATTACTTCTCTGGGAACCCAGCCACCACACGGAGGAAGGCCCATGTAGAGTAAGTGAGGCACGTGGCTGAGCTTCGAGCTAATAGCCCGAAGCAACTCGTAGCCATGTGGGGGTGTCATCTTGGAAACAGATCCTCCAGTCCCAGCTGA